CGGGGGAGAACCACGCGACGTGAGTGACGACCACCGCTCGTTCCTCCCCCCCTCCGACCAAGTGTCTCGTCGCCGATCAAGTATGAAAAGTATATATATACTTTCTGTCAACGTTAATTCCATTCTCCAACGGAGGAAGGGAAGGAAGAAACGTCGCCTCCTCGGAATGTTTCTGCGAATATGGAGAAACGTATTCGACGAGGTTGTTATATAACGGCGGCCAATATCTAGGAGAGTTGTCGGGCTCGCGTAACGTCTATTAAACCGGATAAGATCAATTACTCCTTGGTCAGGCGTCAACTTTGAAGTCGTGTTCCAAGTCGCGTCTCTCTCTCCCGATATAGAACGGAGGGAGGATGGGGGGAGTGGAGACGAAATTATTCGCGAAGCCTGTCAAAAATATGGGTCGGTCGAGCAGCGAGAACGGGCAGGAAAGAGGATCCTCCCCCCCCCCGATATTTTGAGATTCCCTCCCGTTTCGATTGGACGGAGAAGATCCACCGAAAATGGAACCTGGTTTTCGACGGGAGGCGGAGGGATGGCTGCTGAATATTTGAACAAGTGGAAACAAGATCGATGACGCACGGGAGAGGGGGGTCTCCCTCTCTCTCTCTCTCTCTCTCTCTCCCTCGACCACTTTTCGCCTTTCGACAAACTCGGGTATAAATTCGGTGCAAGGAATCGGTTGGTTCCGATCGGGATGGATGAGAGCGGTGACGATGTATCTGATGAGTATTGGTTCGTTTTTTTTTTTTTTTTTTTTTTTTTTTTTTTTTTTTTTTTTTTTTTTTTTTTTTTTTGAGATATTTTTTCTTCATCTTCTTCATCTCTTTTCTTTTCTTTTTCGTAGACGGAGAGGACGAGAGGTGTTTGTTCGTCACCGATTTTTATATCGTATTATTCGAAACGCACAATTACGCTTAAATCGATTTCTCGTTTTGGGGGAATATTATTATTATTATTATTATTATTGATATATACTACGTGTACCAAAGGCGTTGCAAGAAGGAGGGGGGGGGGGGGGGGAGGATGACGATTTCCTTTTTTCTTTTTCTCCTTCAAGGGAAGGGAAGATTTTTGGAATAATTGTCGATCGATGTTTCAAGATTATTATCACGAAAGGAATCGAAGGAACGAGAAACGAAGGTGCGATTCTTCGTTCGAGGGGGAGCGGGAGAGAGAAAAAAAAAAATTAGAAATTTCTTTCGTATTTTGATTCGTGATTGTAGATTAGCCTTGTGTATTATATATTAAAGGGGAGAAGTGAGAGAGACAGAGAAAGAAATAAAGAGTGAGAAAGTATATATATATATATATATAGGGATAGTAGTTTTCTTCTGTGTATTATAATTAGCTTGCTCGTTGTAGACGTCGCGCACGATTGGCGTGAACGCGGCGTGTTTGTACTAGGAGTTTGATAATCGTTGTGAAAGTAGAAAACAGAACAAAAGTTCGAGTAAAGAGATAGATACATAGATAGACAGATAGATGGATAGATGGATAGTAAGAGTGAGAGAGAGAGAGAGAGAGATGAGTGAAGTTGGGAGGATAGCGCTCGAATCTATTATTTTGTATATAACATCGTTGTAACATAGCGCAGTTAGTTGTTAAGGATAAAGAAGCGCGCGATTGTATTATTATGAGTAATATTGCTATTATTATTATTATTATTATTAATTATTATTAATTATTATTAATTATTATTAATTATTATCGTGACAGTTATCATCATTATAATTAATTATTATTATTATTAATTATTATTATTATTATTTTATTATATTTAAATTGCACACGAACAAGATGGGAAAAATATACGAAATCACAAAATCCGAAAGAATCCGGCTCTTCTTCATTCTTTCATTCTTATACTCCTCTCTCTTTTCTTTTCTTTTCTTTTTTTTTTTTTACGAATTATATATTATACCCCTTGTTATATATACTTCATTTTTTAATTCCAAAAATGAAACGAAACAAAATTTTCTTTTTGGCTTGGAAAATTGAGGAATTAGACGTGAATTCTACAAAATTCCATTCTCCACTCTTGTAACGTGTCCAAAATCCAAAATATAATAGTTAATAACTCCTCTTCTCCATCCTCCCTCTGCTCAATATGCCATCGTCGACGAATTCGCGCACCCTTTCTCCCTTTCTCCACCCCGAAAGAAAAATCAGGAAATCTTGTGGCGAAGATCGCCACGAAGCGAACAATGAACGCAATTGACACTTGTGGGTATGGAGGAAAGCAAGAAAAAGAAGAATGGTGGGAGGGGGGGGGGGTCGAATCATCGCCGCCTTGACGTACTTTAATATCACGGACAAAGAGGGATAGAATGATCGAGTCCCCTTTAACAAAGTATGGAAAGGGCAAAGGCAAGCCATCTTCCCTTACTCTCTTCTCTCTCTCTCTCTCTCTCTCTCTCTCTATCCCTCTAAGGTAAGGATCGTTTCTTGGAGGCACCATAGGTAATGCAGCCTTTTCCCATCTGGCTGTTGCCAACGTTGTACCGGCCTCGTTCCATCAACCGGTCCCTC